CTGTCCATAGTAACAAGGAATGATGTATTGTAATAGCATGAGATTTACTGTCCATAGTAACAAAGAATAGTGTATTGTAATAGCGTGAGATTCACTGTCCAGAGTAACAAAGAATGGTGTATTGTAATAGCGTGAGATTCACTGTCCAGAGTAACAAGGAAGAAGGTATTGTAATAGCATGAGATTTACTGTCCATAGTAACAAAGAATGGTGTATTGTAATAGCGTGAGATTCACTGTCCAGAGTAACAAGGAAGAAGGTATTGTAATAGCATGAGATTTACTGTCCATAGTAACAAAGAATGGTGTATTGTAATAGCGTGAGATTTACTGTCCAGAGTAACAAGGAAGAAGGTATTGTAATAGCATGAGATTTACCGTCCAGAGTAACAAGAGATGATGTAAGAGCATTGCTCCCATTCAGAAACACCAGGAAAGGATTATGTACAGTGTTCAGATCTACTGCATTTAATTTCAATGTATTGTTTCATCCTATCAGAATTGATTCATAATGTTGCTTATAGCAACCAGCTGTGGTATTCCGTATCATATCGATTCTCTTTATTAGTAGCAATAGTAATTTTCATTCAAAATCCAGAACAGTTTTCCTATACCTGGTACATGTATTGTCAAATCACTACTTAAATGGATGTATTTTTTCATTGCTGTTAATTCAACACATCGGTAATCCTTGTTTGATTTATACTTCAGGTATAAACAAGCTCACCATGTTCTCCAGTCTAGTGGAGTGAAACGGTCAGATCTCACCAAGATGGTAGAAAGTTCTGATGTCATGTTGAGGTAAGGACAACATCCTAGTATTTAAAAAACCTCTCAAGTTAGTATTCTTTTGTTTTTCATCTCTGTGAGTGTGTGAGGATACTGATTGTACCCACAAAACACGCACTTCTTCCCACATGTGTCAAATACTTTATGGTACTTTTTGCTTCATATTGTGACTTTTCTCTTTTTTTTGTGTATTTAATGTTTCATTTATTTTACAGACTGACTTGTTTTATTGTAATTACAATATCAACATTTGTACATAACACACTTTTGATTGTAACTTTGAATGTTGCACAAGAGTGGTTTGATTTGTTCAAGTGTTCACTTGCGTTATACTTTGCTGTGTGTGTGTGTGTTTATAACTTTACCCTTACAGAGGTAAAAAACTTCACAGCAGTCACGTATCATAATACAGAGATGATAATCTTTAATATATTAGTTAGAGAAGCATTTTGTTTTATATGTTTGAGATACGTACCGATTTATATTGTATAGACTATGTATGCACTTTTTACTGCAGGGAAGAAATTGTGCTAACAGTTGCCATTAGCGTGTTCTTTTATACTGATTAAACAAGCATTTCTCAGCCTTTTTGATACGATAGATCAGATTACTGTCTGCTTAAATTGTTGCAAATCACAATGAAAAAACCATTATAACTTACAAATGTCTAATCTGCCATTTTTTGTGAAATCTCACAGACTGACAAGATACTTGCGACAGATCAGTGGTTAAGAAACACCAGACTAGGCCCATTGCACTCTTCCTGTATGTTTTGTTTTCTACAAAGTGAATTACAAGTTCTGCACCACCATGATTTTTATGTTTTGCTCTAACATCTGTTCAAAATGTGCACAGTGTATTTGTTTCATTTAGGTTGTGGCTCACGTCTTGTAGTATTTGTATTATTACTGTTCTAATAAATCTTCCAGGTTATTAGGATGTCTGAGGAACTCCAAGTGTTTCATGAATCACCAAAAGTTAAAGTTTAACAGCTCACAATCAGGAAAGCATGCTTTTCACACTAAAAAAACTCGCTTTCACATATTCTTGGATGTGGGTCGGGCCTGTGATAGAGCTCTGGATTTTGGAGCTGGAGAACTGAGTTCGAACCTGTGCAATACCACAAATTATCCACTTACTTTAAGCTGTGTATGCATTATAACAGTGACAGTTAGTCCCTTAACATGGGTGATAGAGTGTTGCCGACTGGCTACCTTTCCTCTAGGCAGTAGTTTATAATTATAACAGTGACAGTTAGTCCCTTAACATGGGTGATAGAGTGTTGCCGACTGGCTACCTTTCCTCTAGGCAGTAGTTTATAATTATAACATTATAACAGTGACAGTTAGTCCCTTAACATGGGTGATAGAGTGTTGCCGACTGGCTACCTTTCCTCTAGGCAGTAGTTTTTAATTAATGCATTATAACAGTGACAGTTAGTCCCTTAACATGGGTGATAGAGTGTTGCCGACTGGCTACCTTTCCTCTAGGCAGTAGTTT